CAATTATATCCACGTACACATACTACTTAAAAACCCTGTGAGTAGCACACTATGATGACAGAAGCTAGTACAAAATGCCTTTTTGCTTGATAACATTTTAAATTGAAGGACTGAATTGACAGTTTGATAAATTGTATGCCAGCTATTTTCCATTGCTTAGTGAATTCTAATGCAATAGTAGAAATCTGACACTGTAGTAGAGCATAATTCCGGATTCGATAAATTCATGTGATATAACATACAGTGATGTTAAGCGCGAAACCTATGACTTGCTTTGTTGTTGATAACATAATTTTAGGCTCTTTTATATCTCTCTTATTTTGTATTCTATAGTGATCTCCTTTCTTAAACATATTTAGCTACCTAAATTATTAACATTGGCTTCCTTTTTTTGTACTTTACTTTATTCCTTCTTTTGTGTATCTACTGGTTCCGACTATATTAGCACTATGAGTATTACAAAATTGTCCTGTCATTAACCATCATGTAATTATTAGTTTTTGTGGTTGTATTTCCTTATTTTTTATTTCTTTCGGCAATATTAACTGACAATCATTGCTTGTGAACGCCATTATCATCATCTCAAAATTTGTATTATGCAGGATTACTCACACTACCACTACAAACACTGCATTAGACCTGACAATAAAAAACAAAACAACAACCCTGAAATGTTATTTTATGATTGTTTAGAGTTGTTTCAACTTAATTAACTGATCATCTTGGCGATAAACCTTCTTAAATATCATTTCATAACTTCTTGCATGGCTACAGCTTTGATGTCACCATGCATAACCACATCATAGCTTCCACTACCCAATACTGAGATATTATTATATGCTGTTTATTTTCCTTTCTACTTCTTGGTATTTTTTTCACATTTTTTTAAAAACTATTTTTGTGTTTTCTTTTTTTGTTGTTGTCCTTATATTTATTTTTTTGAAATACTCCTTTTAAATGTTTGATAAAATTAGATGTAAATATTGTAGATATGTACTGTACCACTAGTACTGTTTCTGGAATAAAGCGAGTTATTATTATTATTATTACTGGTAAGTGGATGTCTTATTGAGCACAATTGATTGCTCATAATCACATGGACTTATTCACACGCCCCATTTTTTAAATAATTAACTCTACAGATAATTACTTCACAATTAATAAAAATGGGAAAAAGGGAAACAGTCTTGATTAGTCGAATCAAACCAAAGGAATCACTGATTATGAATGTGAGGAGGTTTCATCGATAGTTGTATAGTAGGTAAAAATCTCACTAGTTAAGACAACTCCAATCATGTCAGTACCTCTAGTTCCCGCTTACAGTACGCGCAGTGGACGGTAGATACATAAACCTGCCCTTATTTTTTATTCCTTCACGTTTCCAGTGCAACATAAGGCTTCAAGCTGGAGGCTTGAAGTTTCTGTAACAGTGTTTATTTTTACAGGATGAGGTTGCTAGCCTCATGCCCAACCTTTCCTCTTTATTATTATTATTATTGTTCCCTTGGGTTCCTAGTGGAACATAGGGCTTCAACTGCACGCCTCCACTTGCTTCTGTCTTGTGCTGTACTTTTCACTTGCATCCATGTTAATCCATACTGTTTCAACTCTTCTTCACACGATCTCCTCCATGTCACCCTTGGACGTCCCACTCGCCGCTTCCCTTTTGGGTTCCACTCGAGGGCTTATTACTTGCTTATCAAGGTAAGGAGTGTGTCTGTGGCCGGGAATCAAACCATGTGCGTGGTCACCCAGCTTCCTAACCCTTGTGCCATCGACGCACGGCTCATTATGTTCACTTTATTGAAATACGTATCTAACCGTCTTATTCCATTTAGATAGAACTATTATAATTTTTGTGGGTTAATCTCAGTGCGTTCTTAGTGGGAGGGCCCTCTAGAGAGTTGAAGTCCTTATACCTGGTCATCTGATCTTCAGTATCATTGGACAAAAAGGAAGTTCCTGATGATAGTCTATGTCAATAATGTCTGTTTATCGTCATCTATTTTAATTCGAACTAGCAGAATTCAGTAAAATTATTCGAATGACTTTCAACTAACTCCATTCTATAGAGAGAGCCCCGTTCTTATCGCTTTATTAACAGCGACGTTAAAAAATTCACTACATCTAAGCCATATAACTCCTACTTTTCCTACTACTATAATATAACATAAATAGTATAATGATAATAATAATAATAATCTACTTTATTCCAAAAACAGTACTTATAATACAGAATGGAATTCGCAGTATTCGTCACAATATTGCATCTGATTTACTCAAAATATAAATTAAATTAAAACAAAATTAATCGGAGGAATTTGTCCACATTTACGACATAAAGTCAAAAATATTCGAAGCACGAATTGAGAATGTTAAATATAATAATAATAATAATAACAGTGAGTTTGTTTCAAACGGTATTGTCGATTCAGTTTGGAAACTGTAGCATGTAATAGATTATTGGATCTAATATTCTG